TGACGATGAAGTCCCAGATCTTGTTGCTGGCGAAACCTTTGAGACAGCTGCCGAGGAGACGCCTGCTGCATCTTAGATTTTTTACTTTGCCTTCTTTATATATTTCCTGTGTTTTTTTAAGGATTTTTTTTCCTTGTTTTTTCAAATTTAAGCATTTCAGGTGTTTTCTGTTACATACTTAGCTGACAAACTCCTAAAATGTGGTTTTCTCCAACCAACTCTAGTTGTTGTAATACTCTAGAGTTTGCCCCATTGTATGTGCATCATAATTGAAGGTAGAAATCAATTTTGCTTGTTTACGTTTTCTGTTCCATGGCTTTAGTTTGTTGCTAAGCTTTTGTGTGAATGGTACTTTGCAGTATTAAGAGCGACAGAAAAATTAATTCAGGTTGTTCCAATGCTCCATATCTACAATCCCTTGCAATTTTTAATGATTGAGATATTTAGTGCGAGTTGTTTCTTAATATAGCTGGTGAGGGTTAAGTGCTTAATGAAGGCCTGTCGTGTATTTCTTCTTTTGTTTATACACGACAAGAAGTTTAGGAGAATCGAGTCTTGGGGGCTACGGTTAGGGTGTCCCTTCAATTTGCTTAATTTATTGGTTATGCTTTTTTTTTTTTTGGGAAAAAAACTTGTGGGTTTCAATTCGATTTGTATATCCTCAAGCAGGGACGAAATTGAAGAGCCAGCAAGATATTAGGGAGTTAAACAAGAATTGATCACATATCATTGTTGTGAATTAATGTTCCTAGTTGGATGAATAAAGAATTCATGAGAACAATTGAGCTTTTCATGTCCAATGCAACGTGCTATAATTGATAGATTTGCTAAAGATCTCCAATGGTCACTGGTCAGTTCGATAGGTGACAGAAAGTTGGACATCTTGATCTGGATAGACGGTATGTTCTCTGGTTACTATCAAAAACTGAAAGTGAGGCAAAGATAGCTTGTGGATCTCTACTTTGATTCTTTATTGTAGTATTCTTGATTCTTAATGACTAATTACTAATAATAGTAATCTAATTTAATAAATAATACTGATAAAACAATAAAGAAATAACAACGGACGTTTTTTATGTGCCTTCCCATAACAACAAAGGATAGATTGGTGAAAATGAATCTGGAGCAAAGGGGCATATGAGCTCTTTACGACCAATAATGCATGCTAATCAATAATCATATGAAACAATGGTTTTGGAAATTAGAGCATGCAGAAACAAAGTCTTTGTAGCTAACTAGCTGTTCAATCAGAATCAGAGGAACTCTTTTTGTAGGTCTTTTCTCGTAGCATACAAAGTAGCATTAACCTTTTTTTATTCAAGGCATCATTTGTAGGGTGCGAGCTAAAAACCAGAAAAGTCTCCCACCAGAAGGAGTATGTGTGTACATGTTGTGGCCAAAAAAAAAAAAACCAGACATAACAACAAGTTCCCTTTAATTTTAAGTATTTAACTAGTTTGTGGTTATTTTTCAGGAGTTGGATGCATCCTGATGTTATTTGTAACAGAACAATGCCATAAGCATACAAGAAAGTCTATGATTTAAAAAAAAAAAAAGAAGAAAAAAGAAAAACCAAAACCCATTAGTTCTCATGCTTGAAACACAAAAAAATGGAGAAAAAAGCGCCAAAAACACACTGCTTAAAGAAAGAGATAGGCTGCTTCCCGTTAAAAATGAGAAAGAGAAAGAAAATCGAAGAGGGGGAAAAAAGAAATGCAGACTCGCATTGAAAGTGAGAAGAGATGAAACATGAAGGGAATTTGAAATTTTCAAACTTGCATAAAACCCAACGCAAAGCTGACTAACTGCAGATCGGCTTTGCATGTATTAAATAACGAAAGCAGAGAGGAGCTATCGATAACACTAAGCTTGGCTTTATGAGCAGGAAAAATCAAAACTTTTTAGGATAAAGATGCACTTACCATTCTGAAAAATTTAGAGTTACGTTTAGCATCCCAAAGTAATCAGTGATGCAATTTTGCACTTAAAAAAAAAAAATGGAGCGATCTCACTCTTACCTAATAGCCACTTTAACCCCGTCAAAATGCTCCTCCTCGGTGAGTGAAGAAAGGACCGGCGGGTGAGGCGCCGTTCTTGAGCTCATTGAAGACGACGGCAGAGATCAAAGGAAGTCTGTGACTGAGACTGAAAAGAGAAGCCTCGTGGAATAGCTTCTCTCTTTCTTGGCCATTCAAGGTTGCGTAGGTTGATTGTACATGAGGCAATGGCTTGATGACCCCCTGGCTTCATTCTTCATTCCTCTTTTATCAGGTTAAGAACTTAAAACTTCCCTTTTCTGAGAATTTCGGCTGTGTTTCGTCCCCAGTTGAAATTGTGCAGCTGTGCCTGTGTAACCTTGGATTTACCTCGGAATACTTTCATTGCTTCATAGATATAGGAAGAAGACATAGCTCATAAGTCTGTGATCTTGGCTCGTTTGTTAATTTGCCTTGTTCCATGTGGTGAACCTAAGTCTAATACTAGTCGGTCCCTGATTATAAGAACCTTTTGACCAAATTGACCAAATTGTGTTTTTTAAGAAAATAGTTAAAATTAATTAAAAATAATTAATATGTAACAAATGTAATTTTTTTTCCAAATATACTCCTAATAAATATAAGAGAGTAATAATGAGATAAATAGAGAAAGAATGTAATATATGATATTTATCAGGGGTAAAATAGGTAACAATGTATTAAATGTTCAGACAAACTTCAAGAGGATCTTATAAAAAGAAACAAATCCATTCAAAAAAAGGGATCTTATAATTAGGGACGGAGGGAGTACTATTTAATATAACACCTAATTGGCTAAGTTGAATTGATTAAAAAGACTAGTTAAATTAATTATTTATAATAAATAGGTGTTGTTTTTCTTAAGATATCATTTCTAATCAAATATATTGGCTAGAATTACTATTATTGTAAAAACTATTTTAAAATATATATGAAAAATAAAATGAATTAAAATTTTATATTTATGATTAAAATAAAAATCAAACGAATTCTTATATTAATTTTGAAAATGTAGTACGTGATTTAAGACGTTTGCTTACACATCTTGAGCTTGACTCGTATCACTGGAGTAATACTTTCTCTGGCTTTAGAGTAAGTTAATCTGATGCAATTTGCTCATGAGAAAGTTAATCAGTGCCTCCGTCCCTGGCACAGCCCACAGAGATGACGATGAACAGTGTCCCATCATCATCTCTAGTTTTAAGCATTACACATGGCATCCAAAAAACAAAAAAATTAATGCCTAGCTAACGGAGTTAAAGTGGATGTTAGTTAAGGATAAGATTCAATGATTAAAGGACCGGACCAGACCGGACCGTTCAACTAGTTGAACCGTTCAACTAGACTCATTAACAGCTGGGTTTGGACTAAAAAACCATTCATATGGCTGAGTTGGATTGAATTGGAGTTGAATCGTCATTAAGCTGAAATCCGGAAGTGGATTAAGAACTGGAATAGTTTTCAGAAAACCGGATAGTTTTTTAGCCTAACTGAAAAAAATACTAAAAAAATTAAAAAAAGAGGGAAAAAATTGACCCCCTCAAATATCCTAATATAGTTTTAGACTATTTATAATATAGTATTATTTTATTAAAAATTTCATATATTGTTGTGTTAAAACTATGAGTCGCTAACCTTTTTGTTTCGATGTCTAGTATAGCTTTTAAAATAATGTTTTAATTTGAATGGATTAATAATTTTTAATATTATTAAATATTTTAAACATACATAAATTTAAATATATAAGGTTTTAGTCTATTTTCATATATATATATTAATTATATGTATATACTATTGTTTTAAATTAATTATTGATTTACTGGTCTGACCGATTAAACTATGACCAGTTGATTTTTCCCGTTTGACTTTGTTTTTAAAATATTGATAAGATTACTCCATTTTTATTATTTTAAGTGCAAAATTACCCAATTTTTTGTTGATCTATTGATGACTTATTTTATTGGCAGTTTACAAATTCATGGTCTTTCCACGTTATTTTTTCATTTCAAGGTGAGTTTGGCACCCTAAATACAGTTAGGTTTTTGTATGTAAGTTGACACAAAAATTCTCAGACATTTAAATATGATAAAATTAATTTTAAAAAGTTAATCCAAACCTTTCCTTTCTTTAGTGGTTCTCCTGTGTCATTTTACTTTGTATTTGTCTATCAGATCATTGGAATAAAAAGATGGGAAAACCATATTGGAGGTACCTATACTTTTTCTCAATTTTTAATTTGGTACCTATGTGTTTTTTTCCCTTTAATTAAACATTTAATTTTATCTTTTTAGCAACATTAGCTCTTATAACTTTGTTCTATTGATATTTTTAGTCTCTACATAAGGATTAATGATGTTAATAGAGCAAAATTAAAGATTTAGTTAAGAACAAAAAACACATAGGTACCAAATTAAAAATTGAGAGAAAATATAGTTACCTCCAATATGGTTTTTCCTAAAAAGATAATCATCCCTTGAAAATGTTAAAATTTTGAAAATACCCTTCCGTCCCCTCCCCTTTTCCTTCGCCAACGGCCACCACCCTCGTATAGTTCAGGCGTTCACTCTCGTCGGGAGCTGCTTCCATTCCCTCTCTCTCCCTCTTGTTGTCGTCAAGTTGCTCGACCTCTATCCTTTTCGCTGTATCGTAAGTTGCTCGGCCTTACCCCCTCCTCCAGTTCTCCTCCAGCGTTCCTCTCCCTCCCCTGCCTTTTCTTCTACCTCTTGCTTATGGACTTGGATTTGTTGTGATTTTCTGGGATTTTAGCCACTGGCTATCATCTCTTGTTCTAATATGCTGACCTACTTGTACTCTTTCCATGTTTATTCATACCGCCATTGAGATTGATATTCGCAAAATCATCTCCTGCCACTTTATAGCCTGGGAATGTGACTTGCTTCTCTCGAATGGGTTATCACAATATCTGACCCTGTGGGTGAATTGTTGACAACCATCCTTGCTTTGCGGACAAACATCTTCCCCGAGACTCAATGAAGCTTGTGAGTTTGTTACGCCATATTTCTATAGTTTTGTGGTGGCAAAGTTCTGTTTACAATATTTATGGAGTTTTCCCTTTTGGTTTGAAATTTGTGTTTTCCTGAGTTTTCTGCAGACTTGTTTGAGCAAAGGCGAGGGCTTTCACTTCCCACCATGTCATATGCTGAATTTTTGTGGGCTCAGGATCTTACTGGATTGCCCACTTGACCTCTCAGCTCTCACTGTGTTCTCTCCTGTACCGGCTGGATTTACAGCCTCACGCTGCAAAGGAAGAAACAACTCTCAAACCTTTGATTCTCTGGGCTTAGAAGTTGGGTCTGACAAGAGGCTCAAAATGGAAAAGCCCCTTGATGCTAATAGTTTAATTTTTGCAGAACCTTGGTATAAGTCTGTTAAGAATTTGCATCTGTGGAACTGGTGTTCTATTGATGTTATATTGATCTCAAGACCTATGGGCATCCTGGCATTACCTTTTCTTACTCGCATGACAGGTTTTTCAGCTAAGGTATCCCACCTTGATGTTGTTCTACTCACATTGAAATATTGTTACTTGATCTCATTTTTGTTACAGTCTACCCAAATTATTTTTGCTTAGTCACTTGTTTAAATTTGGTAGATTTATGTAACTGAAGTATCAGCAAGATTCGGCCAATTTATGATGGAGGATCTTGTATCAATGCATGCTGAGTTAAGGCAGTTTTATGGACCAGAGGAATCTAACTTCCCTTCATGGCTGAGGCAGGAAGCACTTGAAATGCTTCCTTCTGAGTTGAGAGAAATAATTTTGGGCAAAGATGGAGAAGAGCTAGGAAGTTGGATGCCATTGTATAGGTAGTCTAATCTATCCTTTAATTAGCTTTGATGCATTTATCATGCATTATGTACGTGAAACTGAAGGCAATATGCCTGACATAGCTGTTCAAAGTTTGGCTCACCATAGCAGTCTTGGTTTCGACTGTTTTTTAAATCTTGGTGGGCGGAGGTTGGTTATTGAAAATGAGTAAAAAGGCACTCCCTCTATTCAGGGGAGGATACGTATTGACTATTGAGTTAACTTTGCTTCTTACAGTTTTGTGCTAAAGTTATTGGTTATTTTCATTTTATTCATGGAAGATAAATATAGGAAAATTTAGTTGTCTGGGCTATGATATGGAAATTTCTCAGTGCAGCAGATGTGAAGGATTGCATGCTGAAGGTTCAGACACTTAAATATGCCGAAGAAGCCTGCTATAATGGCACCTTGGTTATAAAGGCATTGAGCTCCGGTGTAGAATTTGGTGGTTGTAACTGGATTTTAAGTGGTCCAAAGGGGAATGTTGGCTATATTTCATGCTCCAGCTTCAACTCCGCTCATGCAATGAATTTTGATTTCCATAGTCTACAAGGGACTCGTATATTAATTTATTCAGATTTCTCATCCGTAAGAATCACACCAAATGTTGAAGATGACAATAGTTCCTCTAAACCATCTGTTAATGACTCATTATTTCTCGGGTATGAGTTTGGAGTTTTAACATTTTGTTTGAGTTTCAAATCTTGTCCGGGGATTTCAGTTAGTACATCTCTGTAACTAAGGTGTCATTGTACAGTCAAGGTGATGAAAATTTGTTATTAAATTAACTTTGACAGTGATGACAACAGCAGCTATGTCGAACAAGCAGAATGCTTCCTCAACTCTGATGAAAATTCAGAAGAAAAGGAAAAGCTGGTTTTCATATCAGCCTGTGCTATTGAGTGTGTGAAAGATGGTGGTTCAGTGCTGATTCCAGTTAGTCAATTTGGAACTCTTCTGCAGCTTTTGGAGCAACTGATAGCTTCGCTAGAATCTTCAGCAATGGGGGTAAACTTTCTTCTTTTGAATGTTTTATTATTGAAGTTATAAAGATCCCAAAACCCCACCAAAGTATGAACAGTGGTTGTCTGTGATAAGCCTTTCTATGAAGTTTCTTCTCTCTCTTTAGACAGCACACCCAAGTTTCTTCTCTCTCTTTAAACAGCACACCCAATGTTTTACTATTTAGGTGATTGCGGCAAACCAAGTTTCTGGTTGAACAACTCAAGGCAAGCTGAGTGTGTCAGTGGTTTCCTTGGTTGCTTTGCAACTTTTGTAACACTAACCCTGGAGAGTTTTAAATTTCTATTCTTCCATTTATTTTGTATTTCTGTTGCTAACAATGTCAGACTTTTGCCTCTTGTTATTCGTACTTCTTATAATCTCTTTTTAGCTTCTTCGCTTTCTTTGCTGTTCCAATTGTCAAATGGAAATTGAAGTCTCATCATTGATTTTGTCTAACAAACCTAGGCAGTATTGATCAATGGTTTGTAAAGTTTCATAAATGTTGTTTAATCGAATAGACCTTGTTAGTTGGAGATGACAACCATACCAACATTTGCTTCTACTAACTTTTTGGGTTGTTGGTCCTTCTCATGATGTCAAGGTTTCTTTTCTTTTTTCCCCCCCAAATGAAGTGGTCAAGAGTTTGAACTCAGCACTATTCTTCATAAGTAAATTAAATTTCAGCATAATGTAATATGGGCTGGTGCACATCCACCCTTCAAACTATGCTCATTAAGTTACATATTTATCTGTTTGTAGGTTCCAATTTATATAATTTCTTCCGTGGCAGAGGAATTACTGGCGTTCCTTAATATCATACCAGAATGGCTTTGCAAACAACGACAAGAAAAGGCAAGACACTTCGTGTTTATGAATTTGTAAACGTTTCACTTGTATGCATTCTTTTTAACCATATTTGTATAATTATCCACAGAACTTGAATGACTAACTTCACTTGGTGATGCAGCTATTTGCTGGGGAACCATTGTTTGTACATGCCAATCTTATAAAACAGAAAAGGCTTCATGTGGTTCCAGCTATTTATTCACATAAACTCCTGTAAGTATTTTTTTTCCCCTTGTCCCTTCCACTCTGTTTTGGAGTCAACTACTGGTGGAATGATTATTTTCTTATTGATCTGTGATGGTTTTGTCTTTCCTAGACCCAAAAACATGCTGGCTGTAATTTTCAACATCTTGGGGAAAAAGAACTCATTTTGTAGTGTTGTCAGTAGCTTCAAAATCCATGAGAGGGGCTTGAAAGAAACTAATGGTCTGTGCTTAGAATGAATTGGCAGGAACCATGTATTGTATTTGCTCCGCATTGGAGTCTTCGCCTTGGCCCTGTTGTTCATTTGCTTCGACGTTGGTGTGGGGATTCAAAATCTTTACTTATCCTTGAGGTGCTAATGCATTACATTACATGACTTTTTTTTGTCTTTTGTGAAGTTTGTTCACAATTTTTCTTTTTCCCCTGAATAAAATTTGATATATTTATGTATCTTGAAGGCTTAGATTTTCTCTAATGAAACCAGGCAGAGGTGTCTAATGTTGGGCTGAATTTATACCATCTGCAGGATGTTCTGAATCCTGAACTAGCACTTCTGCCTTTTAAGCCAATTGCAATGAGGGTTCTTCAATGTGCGTTTCCCTCTGGAATAGAGTGGGTTTCTCTTTTCCCTACCTCTATCATTCAATATGAACATTAATTTTTGTGTATTCTGTTTGTTTGGATAAATGTTATTTTATTAGGGAGGAAAGGGTAGATAGCCAAATAGGTTTTAGAGTGACTAGGTTTTTCAAGCTCTCTGCGTGTAAGAAATAGAAACTCCCTTAAAACAGCCACGTGTAAAGCCTCTAAAAGAATATGGCTTCATTACCACTTGAGTGGTTGAGGCTCTCGCACGTTAAGCAATAAGCAAGTGGTTTGTGTATGGAGCAAACTGGTATGAAACCCAGTCAGCCACCCCTAAATACCTACCAGATACGAAAGAGGAGTAAAATATCTGAAACTGATTCTGTTATGCAGAATTTCAGGAATTAAATTAGCCATGTTTTATTTTATTTTCTAATTGTTAGTTGTTGAATTATTTTATTTTAATTCTTTGAGTCGGTTAGCTGGATAAGTAGACCATTATGACTGTTAAGTGGTTCTCATGTTCTATCTTGTTATTCTAGAGACATTTGAGTTTGTTCGGTTATGTTAGGAGATTTCCCTGAATTTATTTAATTATTTTCGTGTATTTCCAGCTCTATAAATAGGCTAGCAACCTCAGAAGGTAACCATTCAGAAATAAAACATAGTCCTATGCCATTTGGAGATTCTCCCCAGTCTTTGGCTATTAAGAACACTTATGTGATGACTTCCTCGATCTTTTCCTAACATATTTAACCCTTCCGTTGTTCATCTTAATCAGTTTGAGTACTTACCGCAAACTTAATTGGGAGGGATATACCTTTTGCCCTCCATACCCTGGGAAAGATTAGTCTCTGGTATTGGCAAAAGATGCTCCTCATCATTTTTCACTGCATAAAAAACAAAATATGCAATACAAATGTCATTTGCAATCCGTAATTTTTTTCTTCCATTCAATTTTCCTATACGTTCCCGTTTGATGTGTTCCAAATTAGACATCTTCTTATGGGCCCTGTTGCGCTATTAATGATTAAAATTTCTGGAGAAGAGGGTGGACCCGTCTTTGCTTGCAACCCTTTTTTCACTTAAAAAGTACCATATTCTAAAGATATAAAAAGATCCTTGCATATTTGTTTGAACAACTAAATTTATGTCTGTTGAAAATTTGATCATAGTACTCTCTGATGTCTTTGCAGGTTGCCAAAAGTACAACCTTTGCTGAAGATATTGCAGCCAAAGATAGTTCTGGTGATTTTATACAACTTATCTGGATACACTTATATTGACCTTACTTTTTTTGACTCATCTTATTATCGTCTGCAGTTTCCTGAGGATTTAAGGTCACAGATCAGCTTTTCTAGTGCAAATTCATTCACAACTTCTTATTACACTGAAGGAAAAACTCTGCGAGTACCGTGCCAAAAAGACAACATAGAGTTAAAAATTGCGACTGACTTGGCTTCCCAATTCCACTGGAAGAAATTAAAGGAGGGAGACATCAATATCTCAAGATTAAAGGGGGAGTTATTCCTGGAAAATGCTAAACATCACTTGCTCCTGCAAAACGAGCAAGAAGATTCGTCGAAACGAAGGCCTCTGCTTCATTGGGGTTCACCCGATATGGGAAGGCTTTTGACAGCACTATCAAAGTTGGGCATTAATGCAACTCTGGAACGTGTTAAAAGTAATACTGAGTCACAGAGTACCTGTATACTCCATGTGCAGGACCCTCACAGGGCTTTAATTCAGGTTGGAGCAACCAGTACTGTTATTACTGCTGCAAATGAGAATGTGGCTAACTTAATTTTTGAAGCTATAGATAGCATTATGGATGGGATTTGATTTTGTGGCCTCTCTTTCTCTGATGTTTGTACAGAATCTTATTTCATGGTAACAAAGTTAACCATGACTTTTGTGGTGACTTGGTTGTTTATTAACACTGGGATTATCATTTAAATGAAACTAAAGGTTTGTCAGGGAAGACTCACCATTTGCTACAATGGAAATTCATACGACAAATTATTTGCAATTGTTCCAAAGAAAATCAAGCTGGTCTTTTAGGTAATTGTGAGGAATCTAAGTGGAAAAATGCTAACTTCATAACCGAAATAAGCAACGAGTATGCATAATCCACAACACTTCTTTTTTAGGGAAAATTGCCCATAAATATCTATTTGAAGAATTAGTTGCCTAATAATATGCGATATGATATATTTTTATACATAAAAGTACTAGTATTCTAAAGGATTTCATATACAAAAGTACCATTGGGAATTAATTCTTCAAATACGTATTTAAGTAAATTAATAATTTAGTATTTGAATGTCGCTCTTATTTTGGGTCTTTAAAGATAAAATTTCTAGCTTACGAAATGCTTTTCCCCTTAACAAAGTAATACTACCATTAATCAAAAGTGAGATTTCACATTATCAGAATTGATTTATGGAGTTATTTTAGTGTATTGAATTGAAGTCCTAAGATTTTGGCCCAAAAAAAAAATGAAGTGCTAAGATGACAATGGTTTGAATTAAAGTCAAATTTCAGTACATTAGAGTTACAAAAACCTTACTCAAGGACTTGTTTAATTGCAAAATAGACATTCACAGAATAAATTGAAAAACCTTATCTTTAAAATATTAAACTAAGAAAGAATTAATTTTTCATAAAATAAATTGTCAATTACCTTTTTCTTTTTAACATCATGTTCAGTTGATCAATCCTTTTATAAATAAAATAAGTCATAATTAACCAAGAACAGATCACAGAAGTGCGACGATTGAATCTAACCCCTAATAAATAAGGAAAATTAAAGCTTCAAAGTAGAGACCACCTGAAAATGCCAAATATAAACAGCATAGTTTCTCTGTTAGGTTTGCAACACCATGCACTATACCAACTTGATATTCATACACCATGTCCTCTAATTTCTCACATAAATATCAGCCCACAATAAATATTTACAAACAGCAAATTCAGAATCACTAACAATTGGTTTTAGTCTCAACCTTCACTCCTGCAACATTTGTTCCAAAGTCTTAACCATGAAGCAATCTCAGATAACGACCAGAATACAACCAGAGAGAAGTTTTAAGGCTATGAAGTATCAGATTATTTTCCCAAGCAAAGTCATCAAGAACCTCTCGTAGTCTCCTGAGGTATCTCCAGCGACTCCATCTTCAAGACTAGATTTGTACATGGTGGCATACTCCACTCTAACTTTCAACAGGTCGATTTCGGCTCGAGTTACAATCGCTCTGGTGAGAGAATCTTCATCAGTTCCCAGCCCAACAATTGAGTCTCTTATAACCTGTTGATGAACAAAGTCAAGAAATTTGAACTAGAGATTTGGAATCTCTGGTCTAGAAGTTGGCTTATGAAAAAGATATAAGTTTGCTCTAGATTGTCCATTGTTCTAATATCAAATTGACTTAAATAGTCATAAAACATTACTTGACTGAGTTTGAACATCAATAATTGTGAGATTATTTTGTCTTTAGTTACGTTTTTAGGTGATATCTTTGCTGAGCCTCTAGCTAAATTGCCAAAGCTTTGCCAGGCACGTTCTGGGAACACTAAGACATTTCTTCTGTTTTCTGCCCAATTTATGAAGCGTTTTTAGAAAATATTTTTTTCCCACTAAACATGTTCTTATTTTCAACTGTCATTCTGAAACTTCATCAACATATAATATAACTAATAACCACAGATTTTGATAAGATCAAGCCACACTTTGTACTTATCAAGAAGAAAATTACCTTAGCAAAATGTCTCTCAGGGCAATCAATGCACCATACTATCACATTTAAGAGAGACTCCAAATCTCCAGTTCCACAGTTTTTGATATCCTATCAACGAAATCATCATCCAAAATTAAGTTCCACTAGTTTAACGGTAAATTGCAAGAACTAAGGTATTCTTCCAGCACCTGCTCCAATGCATTCCCATATAGTTGCTTGTAGCTTGCAAAAGTCGCCCTGAGGTGGAAAATATTTCTGGTGCTAAGTATCCAAATAATGTCGTCATGGTCTAATTCCTTCTTATTGATTGCCTCATGAAGTCTTGCTGCCTCCAGCATCACTGCGTCAGGATCCACAACCTCTTTATCATACCTGTAGGAGCTCACTAGGCCCACCAAAAGCTGCACAATGACCAGATTATGGTCTCATGAAAAATCATAGACAACAACAAGCCTTATCTCATTGGATGGGATTGGCTACATAAATCGCAGGACGTTATTGGGTTCTATCAACAACCAGAAAAATCATAGAACAGATAAAATATAAAATTATGAATGCAGCATAAGATTCTGCTATTAGCATTTGGCTTAAATTAAGTTTATGAATCTTATTTCAGCAAGGAGCTAACGAGAACAACTTAAGTCTTATATAAAGCAACATATATTCAGGATTATCCAAAAGTTCCCACATCCTAGAAATCCAGTTTGAAAGCTGCACTTATATTATCTCTTCATCATTGTCATGAATCATCATCATTTCATCAGACATATTTGATGATTAAAGAAATATATTGAGGATCAGTTTTGGACCAGAGAATTGAATAAAGTGATTGTAAGAAACACCCATAAAAAACTCTAGTCTTTTGTTTCGGTGGATATAGCTTGCTTGTGAACAAAAGCTTTAGTCTTAGTAAGTCATCCAATTTAATATACAATATCTTTTCTCTTTTCGTAATCAACAGCACAAATGCAAACCAAAAGAGAAACCGAGAAAACTTGAGCTCTAAACCTTATAACTGAGGGATTTGGTGCAAATAAGGATCCTTTAAAATGATTAATTGTACGATTTCTGAAATGTTTGGAAAAAAGAGTGACACAAAAGGTGAAACTGGGCATAGAACTCATTTCTTTTCTTTGTTTTTTGTTTTTTCCAAAATCACAATTAAGAATTTCAAAGGATACAAACTCCGAAGCTTTTCAGGTATATTCACCAATCAAACAACTACCTTTTGTGATTTAACGGTAAACAGACACTAGGTCTCAACACTCAACCAGAAATATTTTCCAAATATTTTTGTTCTATGTTTCTAACAAACTACATGTTTTATTTTTCACCTTACTGAGGGGCTTATAAACATTGGATGCAATATCCTCCTCCAGTGAGCAATCAAAGCGAGCGCAGTAAGCCTGCCTCACAGCCATTAGATGGTTAGGAGACGATGCACATGCTATTTCAACTAGAACTTGTAGTTCTTTAATCCCTTTTATCTTAGCCTTCAATGCAGTATTTGCCAATTTTGCATCCCTTTCTGGAGGATCAGTTGTCCATAGAATCACTGCATTCTGTTACAGAGCACAAGCCTAAGTTGAAGAGTGCAGTAAGAAATCACATGGTTACTTTCTTCGAAATAAAAAGGATCATTCTGCCAACACGCCGGTTAGGACTTGGGACAAATATCTAATGCAAATTAAAGTGACAAAGCAAATTTGCAAAATCAAATACAACAATAATAACAAAGTCTTATCCCACCAGGTGAAGTCGGCTATATAGATCACATGAATTTATTGAACTTTATCCAAGGCAAATCCTTGAATATATTGTTAATTGAAAGATCTCACTTAATAACTCTATGAAGTGTTTTCTTTGGCCTTCCCTTACCATGCAATATGAAATAAAATGGAAAAAAAAAAAATTCATATGCTAAGAACCATGAATTTTAGATTGAGCAACAGGAGACAGAGTTGTTTAATGCAGGCAACGATTTCAACGTCACCAAAATGACATTATTCCAGTTGAGATGTATGCATCAATATCATAAGTGAATAAAATTCAGTAGTGATGTAATGTTTCTTGACTCGTATTTTTAAAAAAAAGGTGGTCAAGGGAAGGGAAGGAAGAACAGAACAACATACTCTAAAGTCTCCGGAGAGTTCAGAATGTAAACGATCAATGAGTGATTCCTTGTAAAGCTGCTGATAGGTTTCTCTAATTTTCTTCCTTTGGTTTGCATTTCTGTGTCCCAATACAAATATTACTGCCTCCTCATCTGTCCCAAATCCTACATAATTTTCCCAGAAGCATCATCATTAACAATGATATGAGACAAGAAGTAGTCCATATAGACATTTTTAAGTGTATATTATGAGGTTATAATCAGTACAACTCGGCACACAAAATTGAGTTTTCCAAACAGAAGATACCTATGAAACTTTAGACGTAAGATGTCCCAGGAACAAAATTAATACATTTATTCAGCTCTCGCATTCCATTTGAAGGAATGAACTTTTAAACAAAAGAATCTTAAAGACTTGTATGCATTCAAATTACAAAATGTTATTTCATGAGGCCCCACTAGCACACAAATTCAGATACAGCTTAAATCATCAGGAAAAACGAATATAAATGAACGAAGCTAAATCACAGATGCAATTTAGCGTTAAAAGTCTGTGAGAAAGAGACCTTGAAAAGCCTTTCTGAGTCGCTCGCTGTCCTGGATCGGAGCAGTAACCTCCGGCACTCTCAGAGAAGCCATTTTGCTTCACAGGCGTTGGCTACTTCCCAGAAATCTTCCTTCTTTCATGCAAGCGATCGTAATTTTTTCTGGACTTTTTTGCCCCTGACTTAAAGTGAGCAGCTTTGTTGAGGGAAATTTGCATCTATGTACCCAAATTTGACAAAAATTACGTTGGAAGCTTTTAAAGACAATAAATTAATTTTAACACAAAAGGTTGTTACTAAATTTTAAGGATTTATTATGATTTTAACAAAATAAAATTTTCCTAAATTCCTGTTGTAAGTCTTTGAAAGTTAATTTCCATTTTTGGACGTTAATAATTAATTTATAAAACTTTTCAACACAACTTGATACAATGGTATCCATAGTTTATTAAAAAAAATTTGTTTTACAATATATTTTATATTATACATTGATATTCGAGGTTTTCACCAATTTAAGTCTTTTTTCTTTTGGCCAACCACCAATTTAATTCTTTACATCTAATTGCCTTCTCTTTTAAGTTTTTTTTTTGGTTGATTTAAGTAATCTATTTTGGATATAATTTATTCATTAAAAATCATGTTCGGAATTAGAATTGGCACCTTATTTTAAGCATATTTATGTTTAATCCCATGATTATTATTTTTTCTTGCTTGTTCTGTGAGTTCAACTTCAAAGGTAACAAGCATTGATCTGAACTATTAATACAATGATTAGGCCTCAAATTAATTCCCACATGACTCACACTGGAAGCAAGGTATTATTATTGTTTATAATTATTTTATATTTGCAAGCACCACAAGGGATTATTATATTATTGTATTATATGCATTGTTTGTAAGAAAATATGTATAATATTAATTGCAGTCAAAAGTAATAGGATTGTCATGCCATATCCCTTTCGAGCAATGAATTATTAGGATATAATCGTCATGCAAATCAACACGTGGATTATTACATTATTGTATGCATTGGATTATTATATTCATCCCAAGTAATGGGTTATTCTTTAATTATACTTTTCTGGTTCTAAATATAAGACCCATTTTATAATATAATTTACACTACAAAACGAGTCTTATATTTAGAAATGAAGGAGTAATATGCAATACTTTATTTTGGGCCAAAATATTATATGAGAAAATAATTTTTTGGTCCTTCAATTGTTAATTATTTATAACTCAATTCTTACAGTATAACTTGGTGCAACTGAGTCTCTAAACTTTTAAAATTTTCACTCAGTTAGAACTCAGTTCTTATTTTTTATTTTTGGTAGAGAATGAACTTATCAAGCCCGCTATAAGTAAGTCATTTTATGTGTGAATTAATAAGTGTTGACAAGGCTACCAAGTCATCATTTTCATTATCATCAACCTCCTTCATCCTTGTGATGCATCTTCTGAGCTTCATCTATGAGGGACTATATTTATAAAGTGAGTTAAAAATTTAAAAACTGAGTATTACTGAATTATACTTCAGAGACTAAAAGTGATAAGTGAATTAAATATTGAAAAAATAAAAGATGAATTTTTCTCACTATATATGCATTTAAAGTAATGGATTATTGTATTAAGAGATTTTTGTACATCAATCAAATGGAATGGATAGATACAAAGCAAAGAATATTATCATATCTTATGCTTGCGTGACAAGTAAATGTGATAATGTATTATATAGGTATTAGTTATGACTCATGACAGTTTTTGAACTTTTGTTTAATTATATTTTATTGTTTTAGGGCAATAATTGATGTGCCATGTATTAAAAAATGCATAAGAAATGTACGAAGAAACTAATATAATACATAACGTGCAATTCATATGATTATATTTTTTTCACTCGAAGTACTAGATTAATGTGTTACGTATTTAGCAAAGATTTCATTTTTTAAAGATGGTTCACATTTGATTTCAACAACTCAAATTTTATTATTATTTTTATTATAATCATGATAATTTTTTAAGTTGATAGTTGGTAGAATTATTTAAATTTGCATTTTATTTATCCTGAAAAATTAAAGATATCTAAATTTTGAATGAAATAAAAAAATTATAATCAGTAAAGATTTTATTTTGTTTTATAATAAAATTATAATTAACTTAAAGTTATTTTATTTTATGTTTTTGTAATTCTTTCAAAAGAAAAATATAAATTTTTAAATAAAATAAAATGTCATATGAATTGTTCAAGTATGAAAAGGATTGATGCGAGAGATTAGTAAGATCATCATATATGACGCTTTATAAGACTTTCAAATTTTTTATGTTGTCCAAATTGATACTATTCAATATTTAATAAGAATCCACGTGTAATAATACTATTCCTTAAGCCTAAGGAAAGAATCGATTCCCTCAAATGATAAAAATAGGGTCAAATTTAATACCCTCCCATGGGCTGGCCAGAAATGCTGGGAATCATATGAGTTGTAACTGTTGTACAAAGTTTGGATTACTTTTTTTGCTTTTTCTTTTAATCACGCACGCGCGTTTTTTTTTAAATCTCATAAAAAACCTAAAAATTATTAAATCTTAAATTAAATATTTTTATAAAAATATGTTATTATTTGCAAGTTAAATACTGGGAAAAAGACAGAAAAATGCACCTCTAACTCCAAAAGCCCAGAAACGTCCGCCCAATTCCACAAATCCCATTTTGGTACCATGAGACCAAATTGGGATTATTATGTGAAAGGAAAAGACCACATTGCCCTTTATTTTAAATATTATTTTTAAAATATCACAGCCCCTACTGGCCGGCCGGTCACCGGAGCTCCGGCAGCGGCGGTCACCGGAGCTCCGGCGACCAGCCGACAATTGGTCACCGGAGCTCCGGCGGTCGGAATTTTTTTTTTTTGAAAACTTTTACAACTTCAATATAACGGTTAACAACTTTTGTAATGCTATTCACAACTTCAGTATAACAATTAACAACAGCTTTTCTGGAAAATTCAACAAACTCCGGCGACCGGAAACAATTATTTTGAAAATTTTTACAACTCCAATATAACCGTTAACACCTTTTGTAATGTCATTCACAACTTCAATATAGCAATTAACAACAGCTTTTCTGGGAAATTCAACAAACTCCGGCGATCGGAAACAATTTTTTTGAAAATTTTTACAACTTCAATATAACCGTTAACAACTTTTGTAATGCCATTCACAACTTCAATATAGCAATTAACAACAGCTTTTCTGAGAAATTCAACAAACTCCAATGACCGGAAACAATTTTTTTGAACAACTTCAGTATAGCGGTTAACAACTTTTGTAACCCTATTAACAACTTCAGTATAGCGGTTAATAACTTCAGTATAGCGGTTGAAAAAACCTGTTGTTAACCGCTATACTGAAGTTGTTAATAGGGTTACAAAAGTTGTTAACCGCTATACTGAAGTTGTTCAAAAAAATTGTTTCCGGTCGCCGGAGTTTGTTGAATTTCCCAGAAAAGCTATTGTTAATTGCTATATTGAAGTTGTGAATGGCATTACAAAAGTTGTTAACGGTTATATTGGAGTTGTAAAAATTTTCAACTTCAGTATAACGTTCACAATTACGTTTTTTTGAAAATTTTTACAACTCTAATATAACAGTTAACAACTTTGATATAGCAGTTAACAACAAGTTTTTAAATTCAAAAAGTGACATTTTTATAACTTCAGTAATGCCTTTAAAAAACTCAAAAACCTGTTGTTAACCGCTATACTGAAGTTGTTAATAGGGTTACAAAAGTTGTTAACCGCTATATTGAAGTTGTAAAAGTTTTCAAAAAAATTATTTCCAGTCGCCGGAGTTTGTTGAATTTCCTAGAAAACTTGTTATTAATTGCTATATTGAAGTTGTTAATAGCATTATAAAAGTTGTTAACCGTTATATTGGAGTTGTAAAAATTTTCAACTTCAGTATAACGTTAACAATTACGTTTTTTTTGAAAATTTTTACAACTCCAATATAACGGTTAACAATTTTGATATAGCAGTTAACAACAAGTTTTTCGAAAAATTCAAAAAGTGGCTTTTTTATAACTTCAGTAATACCTTTAACAAACTCAAAAACCTGTTGTTAACCACTATACTGAAGTTGTTCATAGGCTTACAAAAGTTGTTAACCGTTATATTGAAGTTGTAAAAATTTTCAAAAAAATTGTTTCCGGTCGCTTGAGTTTGTTGTTGTTAACCGCTATACTGAAGTTGTTAATAGGGTTATAAAAGTTGTTAACCGCTATACTGAAGTTGTAAAAATTTTCAAAAAAATTATTTCCGGTCGCCGGAGTTTGTTGAATTTCCCAGAAAAGCTGTTGTTAATTGCTATATTGAAGTTGTGAATGGCATTACAAAAGTTGTTAACAGTTATATTGAAGTTGTAAAAATTTTCAAAATAATTGTTTCCGGTCGCCGGAGTTTGTTGAATTTTCTAGAAAAGCTGTTGTTAATTGCTATACTGAAGTTGTGAATAGCATTACAAAAGTTGTTAACCGTTATATTGAAGTTGTAAAAATTTTCAAAAAAAAAATTCCGACCGCCGGAGCTCCGGTGACCAATTGTCGGCTGGTTGCCGGAGCTCCGGTGACCGCCGCTGCCGGAGGTCCGGTGACCGGCCGGCTAGTAGGGGCTGTGATATTTTAAAAATAATATTTAAAATGAAGGGCAATGTGGTCTTTTCCTTTCACATAATAATCCCAATTTGGTCTCATGGTACCAAAATGGAATTTGTGGAATTGGGCGGACGTTTCTGGGCTTTTGGAGTTGGAGGTGCATTTTTCTGTCTTTTTCCCTTAAATACTGTCAAAATTTATTAAATTGTAGAAAACAATCATAATTCAAAATTTAGGGCTTGTTTGTTTCTGTTTTTTGTGTTCTCAAAACAATTTTGTAAAATTGGTTTTTAAAACAAGTTTTGAGAATTAAAAAACAAAAAATATCCTTTGATAATTATTTTGAAAAATCACATTTGAAACAAAAGAATATAAAAAATAACATTTGGCAAGCAGTGGTCATCATCGGCAGTAATACAAGGTGGGTCATAAATAAGAAAAAA